GCTACACTAACATGTGTGAAAGCAAGTGGATTTCTTTTTTATAACATATTTGTATTTCGAGGAAACTCTTTTAATCTTTAAGAGAGAAGAAGAGTCCTTAAATGCATCTATCTGAAACATGATTTGTTAAATGTCTCTTTCAGAATAAAACAAAATGATATGTTAAATGTACAATTTGTCTATTTAATGCTATATCTATTGTTTTGTATTTCTTTTTTTGTCAAAGTTGTTTTGTACTTTTTTGGTGGACACAATTATGATGAGTGTTGTTATGTTTTCATTTTGTTAACGTTGGTACATCACATGTGGTAAAGCAAGTAGACTCCAATCCGTTTCTTTTAATGCAAAATCTAACCTTATTAGACCGACTATGCTCATTGTATTCCATCCCATACACATCATATCTTACTAATAATACCATATTGTACTCTAAGTACATCAAAACTATTATTCACCAAAATTTTAATCTCTACTGGGCTAGGTTTTTGACTATAAAATCAAATTCATGTACTAAATTAAATTAAATTTTAAGACACATGTCTAAATAATTATATTATATAACAATGGTGATATATCAAATTACATGTCTAAATAATTATATTATATAACAATGGTGATATATCAAATTGTTTTGATATATTTGTTCAATTTGGAAACAAATAAAGTATTCCAAAAACTTAATCAACTGTTAAAATCACAATCAAATAAGGGAGCACATATATAATTAAATGGAAATATGTATGCACACGTTGAGACACAAAGACAAATTATTATGTGTTAACGAAAAAATTACTATCTCTTCGTCGTTGTTTTTTATTTCTATATATTTTTACTTATATTTTGCTTATGTTTTGCTTATATTTTATTTACTTTGTCAAGTTTTTTTTTTAATTTTTCGTATTTAAATATTTTCAATAATTATAATATGTTGATAGATTTGTAGTAAATAAATCATAATTTATTTCAAATTTAATTTTTTCTAAAACTTAATGTGATGTTTCTTTAATTAATTAATATCATTAAAAAATCTAAAAGAACAACACTTTTATAATGTTTGGAGCTCTACTATTTTGTAAATGCTCATGAGAAGAGAGTATCTCGATCATAATAATAAATTTATATTGTGCGTAACAGTCAATTTGTAGATATGGTATGCTTTTGTTTTTTTGAAATTTATATATACACTCTATGTTAATATATATTATGTGCTTACATTAGAACTTCTCATTTAGAAAGTAACCAAGTACCAACCAAACTTCTCATCACACACATTCTTCTTCATTTTCTATGATTACTAGATGTATGTAGCCACGCATATGTGTGGCTTGTTGCATATTTTTATTCTTTAATATGTAAAATTATTATGCATAAATTAACATTTTTAGATATGGTGGAGGAAAATAAAAAATATATATTTATTTATACAATAATAAATGGTAGAAGTTACATTTAGAAAATAAATGCATTTAAAGAGTTATAATGTTAGTAGAATTAGTAGGAAAACCATTCAAATGATAACTATAGTCACTGTGAGTTTATCCAGGTAGTAAATGTATTATAGTGAGGTTGAGTAATATCTTATATTTATTTAGTATGAGTTATTAACATTGATTTTAAATTTAGTAAGAGCAACACATGAATTTAAATGTAAGTTAATTATAGATAAATATAAAAGTATAGTATCTTTAGAAAATATTAAGAAGAATAGATTGAAAGTGAGAAAATAATATATTTTGTAGATATACAAAAAAAATTCCTACACTTTAATATATCCAAATTATAAAATATTAAGATATATATATAATTTTATTTAATATGAACATACATACATATCTTTTGAATTTATTTATTTATTTATTCTTCCACTTTTATAAAAAACTTTCTTTCATATATTTTTGCATTGTAAAAGAGAAAGAGAAAAGAAACGAAAAATATATTATATTAATGATAATAAAATTTTACATTATTTTGGATTAAACCCAAGGATACTTCCTTTTTTAAAAATCTTTTTTATATTTCACTCAATTTAAGTTATAATGCTAGGTTTCATTATTATGATTTCATTTTTGTAGGATTTACATTGATATGTGTGATTATCAAATTAGTTTAACTAACTTGATTTTTCTAAAAAAACAAAAACTTAAAACCACGGAGCTTGAATAAAATAAGCATAATGATCTTTGTATAATTATTTATTGGATAAAAAAATAAATGTAATGATGAGTATATTAAAATATTACAAAAATATATTTGAGATAAAGAAAGAAGTAGTTGTAGAAGAAAAAAAAAAGTTTAAACCAGAAATCTTGAATAAAATAAAAATTATAATGATCATTATATATCTATTGGATCACAAAAACTAAATGTAATGATGAATATGTTAAAAATGCTGCCAAAAATTATTTGAGATAAGAAAAAAGTAATTTAAAAAGTAAATAAATTAAGGGGGATTAGCAAAAATACCCCTTTTCTCATGCCCCTTTTCAAAAATACCCCTTTTAGATGTCCATTTTCAAAAATGCCCCTTTTTAAATCTGAAATTTTTATAAAGTTTTATTAGGTTTATAAGGTACTTATGGATTGTAACTACTACTTGAAGACTCGATCCAAGTATTTATAAGGTTTTATAAGGTGTTTTTAAAGGTTTTACAAGTTATTTTAAAGGATTTTTAAGGTTTTTCAAAGGTTTTACAAGATATTTTAAAGGTTTTTAAAGGTATTTAAAATGCATTTATAAAGTATTTATAAAGTATTTATAAGATTTTAGATACATAGAAATGTAGTTTGTGTATGTTTTAATAATATTACATACATATTTGGGTAAATCTTATATTTTTAAGATCATTTTTTATAAGGTTTTTAAAAAAGGGTATTTTTGAAAAGTGGCATTGAAAAAGTGGCATTATTAACAATTTCCCATAAATTAAAACACACAAAAATTGAATAAAATGAATATTATGATAATATTTTATATAATTGTCTATTGGATTAACAAAAAATAAACATAAGGATGACGAGTATATTAAAAATATTACAAAACAATTATGAGAAATTGTTAATAATACCCCTTTTGAGATACCCCTTTTCAAAAATACCCCTTTTGAGAGTCCATTTTTAAGTTTGCCCTCTTTTAATTTTTAATGACTATTTTACCCTTATTTGAAGCAAAATTAGGTCCACAAAATACAAAATATTTTTTGGCGGGAAACGTGATCCCGCAATTTTCCCGCCAAAATTTTTTTTTTGCGGGAAAAGTGATTCCGCAATTTTTTTGGCGAGAAAAATTTTGGTGGGAAAAATTTACAAGGTATTTTAAAGGTTTTACAGAGTATTTACAAATGTTTTGTAAGGTTTTTACAATGTATTTTAAAAGGTTTTACAAGGTACTTATTAGGTTTTATAAGGTATTTATAACTTGTAAAACCTTATAAAAAACTTGTAAAACCTTATAACTTGTAAAACCTTATAAAATAGCTTGTAAAATCTTATAATATCTTATAAATACCTTATAAATACGTTGTAAAACCTTTTAAAATACATTGTAAAACCTTATAAATACCCTTTAAAACCTTTAAAATACCTTGTAAAATGTTCCCGCCAAAAATTATTGCGGAATCACTTTTCGCGCAAAAAAAAAATTTTGGCGGGAAAATTTTTTGGCGTGAACATTTTCCAAGGTATTTTAAAGGTTTTACAAGTTTTTACAAAATCAAATTTTTAATTTTGATGTGTGCACATTCTCGTGTTTTCCTTATATATTTGTGATGTTTTTTACTAAAAGAAGGGTAATTTAGTCATTTTGTACATAAAAAAGGGTATTTTTAAAAATGGACAGCTAAAGGGGGCATTTTTGAAAAGGGGTATTGAAAAAGGGGCATTTTGTGAGTCTCCCAACAATTATTGAGATAAAAAACAAAAAAAGTAGGTACAATTTATTTGATAAATGTATTACAATAATTTATTTGAGTTTAAAGATATATGAGTATATGACTATGTAATAAAATAACTAAATGTCTAACATAGATATTGGAGATGGATTTTTTCAACTTGATCTCCTTGTTTTGCTATGGACCGAATTGCTCTTTTTGAATCTTCATGGATAAATATGAATTTTTTGTTATAACCATCAAAATTTTTATCATACATAATAATTTTGAATTAGAAATATGAAAATTAAAGAATATTCTAGTAACATATTAAAATTAAAATAAAATTAGAAAAAATGTAAGATACATACCATATCTAGACATAAAATTTAGAAGCAAACTCTTATAATGATGTCTCAATTGATTTTCAACCAATGCAAAAACATAAGAAAGAAAGAAGAATAATATTTATGTTTTGAGTTATGGTAGATGAGGATGAGAGAATGATTATTTATAGGATGAGAGATGATGGAAGTTACATTTAGAAAATAATTAAATTAGGGGGTTACAATTACAATTTATAGTATTGTTGAATGACATTGAGTGGAGAAAAATATTTAATACATAATTTATATAATTTCAGTTACAATTTAGTATTTAAAAGTAGATTAATGTATATGATTAAATATGTTATATTTATAATTTAATTGGAGGTAAATATTATTATTTTTAATTTTAGTTTTTAAAATGATTGTCAAGTAGACCAATAAGGAGAGAGTGAAACCTTATTTTATATGTATGATTAAATACAGTTCACCTTTAGCAAAAGGAAAAAAAAATAGAAACAGTACAAAAATCATCATATATAGTACACTAATTATTTTGCATTTCAAACTGAAATATTAAGACATAGACCATCATTACATTTCAGCACTCATAATGGAAGAAAAAAGTGTATCAGTACGTATATTAATTGAAATTAACTTATCAATTAACTAATAGTACGTGATCATAATCATATGGAGTGTTAAATAATTAAAATCTCAGAAACAACCGAGAATAGAATCATAAATTGGTCGGAGAGATCTAAATAGATTGAAGTAAGTCTTCTCACTTGGATGGATAGAATCAAAAAAGACATAAGCAGATGTATTGGAACACACATATGACTTTGGATTACACAAAAACGATGCCTCTAGGTATCCACTTCCACAACATCCACTGAACACTTCCTCAAACCCTAACATACAAAAATAAAAACAGAAATGTCTTTGAAACCAAATTTATGACTTGCACTGGTAACAATGGAAAAGAACAAAATCTTTTAAAAAGAAAGTTTGATTTTTAATATTACATGATAATGGAATATTCTAATAATAGTTATAGATCCAAATTTTGTATAATTTTATCATTGGTCCTTCTCAGAATTGTAAGATAATTTTGGCATTTTATATAGTACTGCCACTAAAAACTACATAAAGTTGAAAATTAATAATATACCCTAAATTATACATGTTTGTAAATTAATATAATAGTTAACCACATATCCTAAATTCTAAACTCTACCATAGGTCCTAAAAATCAAAATATATTCACTAAAATATATGTTAACTAAGCTAATAAAATATTATATCCGAATTATTTGTTTTGTTTTGTTTTGTTTTGTTTTGTTTTGTACTTACCGAATTTTCGAGGGTCATGAATGACCTCATAGACTGGGTTATAGACGTCGAGGTAAAAGATCTTTGATCCAAGATGGGCCAAATTCATTTGCATGAGGCCCAATTGTTTTTGTAAGAGGAAATTGTAGTTTGTGGCCACGGTGGCGAAACGGTCAATGCAACGACGGTTGGTCAATGCTTCGCCGGAGAATAATGTTATAACAATCGGCAAACACCCAATCGGTGGTATACCAGCCACTGTTATCTTTCTTGCTCCTTCTTTCCATAAACCCTAACCATTAATATCCATATATTAAGTAGATTCTTAAGAAATGTATATTAGAACAAAATAAACCAGTCGAAATCCAAACCGAACCAATGAACCCGGACCATTTTGAAATTGAGCTAGTCTAGAAAAGCCGATTTCAACAAATCGAATGAGATCGAAGCCTAAGTTCAAAGTTTAAACAAATTAAGTTTTGTTACTCATGAATTATAAGTGTGTTTGATTTAGTAGATTCGAGTCAAACCGGAAACATAACAATTTAAGAAAATACTATTATATTTCCGTAAACCTTACACTTTTATGTTTTGATTTGATAAAGCTACGATTAATTCTAAAAAATCACAAAAGATCACTAATTTAAGGTTTAAGAAAAAAACGAGAAAATTCTAGGATACTATAATTATCCTTAATAAACCTTATAAATTTTTGGTGAGCCTAATGTTTGTGGTATTTTTGGAACTTTATCAAAATTGTGGTATCTATTTTTTTTGTTTGAAAAGAAGAAAAGAAAATGTACAAATCAGGAAATATGAATTTTTACCTGAATAAATTGCTTGAGATTGGAAATAACGAATTGTTGATAAGCTTCGATAGTGAAAGTCTTCCTTCGTATGGGAATTGTGAAATAATTAATGACGAAATCGTTGGTTCCTGCACTTACACAAAACAAAGCTTCTTCTATGTGTTTTTCCATTTTTTGTTTTCCCATTATATTCTCCAATTTTCTCTTGTATTCTCTGAAATACTCTAGCTGAGTCGGAATGTCTATCACGTTCTGTACCATCCCCAATGAAAGCAACAACACACCCAACAACATAATTAATTCAATTTATTCCAAAAGTATACAAATAAAATGTGTTAGTTTGTTGCAATAAATGTTCGAAAATTAGCAAAAAAAAAAAAAAAATCTTAAGATAACGACATCAAGTAGTGACTAGTGATTAGTTAAGTTTTTCTTTTTTTTGTCATTGTGTTAGTTATTTCTTCAATTTTAGTTGATTTAGACGTCACATTCTAGAACCTAACCACGAATAAACATGAGGTTTTTACTTTGCTTTTTGGATTTAAGAATATGAGGTTCAATTATATTTTGAAATATTATATATGGGCCCGAAAATTAAATGATTGGTTTGTTCATAACTTCATACATCTATATATTATCCTGGAATATTGAAAACTGTAATATTTCGTGTAAAAGAAAGAAATGTACTCCCATATTTTACTTTTTTTTTTCTTTCTTATAAAGTTAAAAATATGTATAAGGCATCAATTATTCTCGATTTGTAGTACCTTAAAAACGTCATTTAGATTCTAGAAATTTACTCTATCCTACTATTTTTGGTTAATTTACATGTACAAGACCAGATTGACAAAAGAAAAAAGTAATAATCATCTCAAAAACATTAGTCAAACCATCATATATACATTTGAGCTTGAATTGAGGTCTGGAAGTCCCATTAGCAGCAATATGGTTATGCATAGCAATAATAATATAACGACCCAGATGTGTATAATTGATATTTTGTACGTTCTTAATTATGTCCAAAAATAAAAGAGTGCAAAGAGATAGAGATTGGACACTGACAGTAATGGTTGGAGTGAGAGGATCATATCCAGAACCAGCTGAAGCAAAGCTAACTCCACTTATTAGCTCATTTACTCCAAGATTTGGGTCCAAATATGGTGGCACATTCTCCTTCACACCAATGTATGAAGCTATACATAAATGTATGATATTTAGGTTCACTATATATATAATCAATATATTTCAGTTGTATATATATATATATGAACACTAACCAATGAAATCTGTGACGAGTCGGCCGTTGCAAAATCTACCGGTGGGAATTTTGTTTTTGAAATCGAGTCCATAGGGCGGAAAATTACACTTGAATATTGTGTCGATGTAGTTGTTATTTCCCGGATCCACGGTTGAATCTCCGAACACGAGAATAGCTGAAACTGAATGTTTTCTTTTAGGTTTTGCGGGTTCGAGTTTTGATGTTGAGAATGAGAAGGAGATGAAGAACAGGAAGAGAAAGAGGATGAAGGAAAAAGATGAAGAAGAATGTGTGTGATGATTTCTCATTGTTATGACAAATGACAAGTTTGGTTGGTACCTTCTATGTATAAGCACATTATATATACTATTTCAAAGGTGAAAATACAAATTCAATAACCGAAGCGAAAAAATGAAGTAGTCACATTTTAATAATTATGATACACAAAGTACGTAGTACAATATTTAATTTTGGAAGATGTATATTGAACAGATAATTTTCATAAAACAAACACTAATTAATCTGCGGGTAACGTTAATTAACTTCCATCTGAAATTATTTAGGTAATGCTTTAAATGTTGTAATGCTGTATATTCTGGGTATTCATTAAATTTATGACTATATATAGTTATATACCTTAATTTTTTGCTTAAAATAATTTATTTCGAGCTAACTATTAAAGGTACTACATGACTTTATACCTAAAAATGGATCAAGGAATCAGACAAACAATCTTATAGGTATTAGGTATGCATTTAATAGTGACATGGATAGCTCATAATTAGTAATTTAGTATACGGTGTTAAATATCTTCTTTTTTCTTGTGATACAAATAAAACCTTGCAATAGTTAAATCTCTTGTTCGTTCGACTTCTTTATGCCAAATCCCTTATACATATAACTTTTTTTTTTTTTATCAACATACATATAACTAAAACTATAATGTATTTACTTAATAATCATTTCACCTCTATATATAATAGGGGTATCAAAGCTTATATTTGGTTTACAGGTATTGAATAAACCTTAAGTCAGCTAGTGGACACGTGGGATATTTTTGCAATGAGAAAAATAGAAATGAAAGTTAGATACTTTGAAGACTTGAAGTACATTGGTTCCAGGATTTTAGAAACGTAAGCTCGTTAATCATTTCTTAATTTCTGTTAACACATGAGAGATATCAAGCATTTGTTGAGAGATCAAGAAAGAGTCTCGTCTCTCTGATCTTATGAGTTAATCTGATCTGTCAAGGAAAAGTCGAGGATTGCTCTTACAAGTTACATCTCAAGATATTATATTCTTGCGGTTTATTCTTATTGGGCTCTTCTTCTTTGGATACTACTTGGTTCAAGTTAAGGTTTTTCTAATTAGTGGGCTTATTATGTTTACAACTTTTTTTTATCTATTGTGAACCTTTTTATCTATTATGCTCTAGTTTTAAATTAATGCAAAATTTTAAATAAAAATAGCATAATGAGGAAGTGATACACAATGTAATGTTCCTAAACTTGTGCTCTACGCAGTATAACCTTTAATCTAATGGTAACTTATATTTCAAGTGATTTACGTATGATACTAATTAAAGCACCAAAGTATATATACTTCTATAAACTCAAATTATAGAAGTACAGCATCAACCTTAATTAGGCGGACGGACATTGATTCAATATTTGATAATTAGTGTAATTTGTATTGAGTTAAACTTTATGCCTCTATCTATATATTCCCCTCGAACAAAACTTTATTTACCTAGCTCCCATAAAAGTATTTTTGGATCCACCGTGACCGTTTGATCATTCATATATCAAAAAGTATCATGAATCATCGTATATTTGCATGAGAGTTACTACATGCAAAATACTTTAAAAGAAATTTGTTGGATAACGTAAGAAAACTGTTGGATGACGTCAAAAAAACTGTTTGATGGAAATTGTTTTTGAACACACTAAAAAAAATCGTAATATTTAAGTCGTTCATGTCATTATTTAATGTTGTTAATATGGGATCTAATAAGACAAAACATAAAATATTGATGCAAAACATTTTAATAAAAAATGTAAAAACACTAAAGAAAGTAAGATGAGAGTTCCTTCTCCAACACTTAAAAATCCACTCACAACCAACACCAACCGGCTATATCACTTTCGGTGACCACATGATCTTGCACTTGAAGTAAAAGAAATACTCAATTCCTAATCATTTTAACTCATTAATTTGATTATATTAAAAATATATTTGACCAATAGGAAAGGCAAAAGGTGAGCAAAATCAGATCAAATTGGCGAGAAATACAAATAAAAGAATAAATTTTATAATAACAATTAACTATTTCAGAATACGAATTTAATATTTTATTTAAGAAAAAAATAATTCAATTGTTTCAGTGAGATGTTGTTCGGTTTACTTGGTTTATTCAATATGAGGATATATAAGTTCCTTAATTCGGTAATTTATTATGTTTGCTTCAAATTTCCTCATAGACCAATAAGAAAATAATAACTAACAATAATAGTTGTAATCAGAATCATCCTCCTCACCAATAAACAATTATAATCATCACAAAAACCTTCTTAAGAACCCTCCACCGCTTCTCTTCTCTTCTGAACATTAAAGCCAAGCACATACACAAATTCATAAACAGAAAAAAAACAGGAGAAATTGAAGACAGAAGTAAAGAAAATGAGCACAGCAAGATTCATTAAGTGTGTGACTGTAGGAGATGGAGCAGTAGGAAAGACTTGTATGCTAATTTCATATACCAGCAATACTTTTCCTACGGTAACTGTTAATTTCTTAACAATTTTTTTAATCTTTATAAAATCTTTATCAAAATTGATGTTTTAAGAGTTTTTAGTCTCTTGAAGATTCGTTACAACAAAGCCTAGTTTGGTAATAAGAGCTTAGTTTAGTCTTTTGCGTTCCAGCGAATTTCTTCTTTCTCATTTGATACTGGACCTAAACTAAATCAGAATTCAAACCCAAGCTACTGTATTTTGCTATCTGTTTACTTAAGAAACATTGTTTAATTATGTATTTGAGATATAAATGATTTAACTATCTAATTTACAGGATTATGTTCCAACAGTTTTCGACAATTTCAGCGCAAATGTGGTGGTCGATGGGAGTACCGTGAACCTCGGCCTGTGGGATACTGCCGGTACGTATGATTACTTGATAATACTAAAACTGATTATTGATAAATATAAGTATTAGTTTTGATAATTATAATTAATGTGGAATTATCAGGGCAGGAAGATTATAATAGACTTAGGCCTTTGAGTTACAGAGGAGCAGATGTGTTTTTGTTAGCATTTTCCCTAATTAGCAAGGCCAGTTACGAGAATATTCACAAAAAGGTAGTTCTTCTTTTTCTATTTTTGTAAGAAAATTTGAGTACGGTAAAGCATTTGTAGAATATTATTGTCGAGATTGATTAATTAATTAACTTTAACAAAAAAAAAGATTGATAAATTAATCTGTTGATTAATAGTGGCTTCCGGAGCTGAAACATTATGCGCCTAGCATCCCCATTGTGCTCGTCGGAACAAAATTAGGTAACAAAAAGTTTTCCCTTATTAGTTCTTAAAGAATTTTAATCAACATTTAGTCAAATTCGATATGGTCTTGATTAATGATCCGCATATGATATAATATGCTATTGTTATTTAATAATCTTTTCTCCTTTTCATAAAAAATGTTGTTATGGAATTAATTTTTTGTTTAAAAAAACAATGTCATTTTAAAATTTAAATGTTATTTATGTAACTAAATTTCCAGATTTACCCCTTATTCAAAGCTAAAAAAATTTTGTATTAGTCATTTGAATACATGTGAAAAGAAATCAACATTTTAAAATTCGATAGTGTATAAACATTTATATCCATCCAATAGCAGAATAATGTTCAAATGCAGCAAATATACCCCTCTTGGGTCGTCAATAAGGTTTGGAGTAATGGCCCATTTAGGCTTTATCATTGAAACGTTTATTTCTTTTGTTTATAATATCTTTTGTTTTTGATAAATGATTTTTATTTATAGTATCTATGTTTTTGGAAAAATAATGTTACACAAAAATGAATTCAGATTTGAGGGATGACAAGCAGTTCTTGAAGGATCATCCTGGAGCAGTATCTATAACAACTGCTCAGGTACCATTAATAAATAATTTAATTTAATAATCTTTCTTTTTGCTAAAGTAAATATTCTCAATAGTTTAATCTATATATATATATATATATATATATATATAATATATATATATATATATATATAAAAGAAAATAATCATAAACTGTGATTGTGAAAGTGTGAATGAATTTGAGAAACAGGGAGAAGAATTAAGGAAGATGATTGGAGCCGTAAGGTACTTAGAGTGCAGCTCCAAAACCCAACAGGTATTTAAATTTTATACATGTAAATTTAATTACTTAATATACATAGATTGAAATAATACAATAAAATTTAGTAAACTGATTTATTATTTTTTTCAAAATTTTATAGAATGTGAAGGCAGTGTTTGATACAGCGATAAGGGTAGCTTTGAGGCCACCAAAGGCAAAGAAGAAGATAAAACCATTGAAGACTAAGAGATCAAGATTATGCTTTTTCCTCTAATATTTGAACAAATTTAAATAAATAAATAAACATTTATATATACATGTATTTCAATATATTTTTTTGTTTTGTTTTATGTTGTACTTGAAATAGTGGACTTTTCTTAGTCATCAACATTTTTCCACCGTACATATAATTGTTAAATCTCAAACTACAAGATATGAAACAAAGTATATTATAGCCGAGATTTAGGTTATGCCTCAGATAGAACTCAGTATTTCACGACCAAAAAGCCTAAGAAATCACCTAATTGCATTAGTTTCTATTCTCTCTGTCCTGCTGGCAACTGCAATGTATTATGAGTTTATTAGGAACTGTTTGACGCATGAGTAACGGTACATATGAGATATAAAAGTTAAAAGGAAATAAAATCTGAATTAACTTTTGCTCATTGTGATTTTAAATTAACATCAACATGCTACTCAAGACATACCAACCGTTGGAAACCCACTATAGTGAAATGGGAAGTATTCACCAAATACTGAAAAGTCATACCGATACATGTCCATGCCCACTCAATGAAGATTGCAGAAGAAAAGTTAGCTTAGAGTCACGAAATGGGACATGAATTGAACTAATAAGAGATAATTTATCATCAAAACATCATAAGAGATAACACATGTTACCAAAACAAGGAGAGATAATTCTTGAAAGTGAGGAGAATAAGAAACTAAATCTGAGGCTAATACCATCCTTATTGGGAGGTCCTTAGCTTAGTTCTTAGCTCATGAGTGATTAAAATTAAAGGTTGAAATGTTGATTTTGCTAAGGAATGGTTCTTAGTTAAGAGCAAAAAATTGGCTTAAGAGCAAAAAATTGGCTTAAGAACCAAAACTAAGGCCTCCCCAATAATGTTGCTCTAAAAGCCTTAACTTTAGGGCTTAGTCCTAGTAGAAATGGCATGAAGCGGGTCTTCCTTATGCTTTCTGTCACCGATATCTTTTATTTTCGCCACTTACCCTTCATTTGGGACATAACCGAAAACTTTACTCGATGCAAATTTTCACTTAAATAATACAAGACATTCTCTTTGTTTCTTCAAACAATCATGACGCCTTTATATTACATTATCTCCCTAAAATCTTCTATATAGCTTCAAGTGAATCTCAGCCCAGGATAAAAGCCTAAAGCTATGCTTTCGTACAATATCTATATAAAAAAGAGTAACTTGATAAACTTATTATTAGTAGCTTAAAGAAAATCAAATCATCTAAAGTTGATTGTACCAGTGATCAACGAGAGATATTAACAAAGAAATAATCTGATATAAAGAGTAAAAATCTCCCTAAAATATAACAAAAGAATCACAAAAACCCTAAGGTTCAGATAATTAAGAAGATGTAAGTAATTTAAGGCGGACTGCTTAGCCCGTACTTTTAGACTCTTATTTTCTGATGTAACTTTTGTACTCTTCTCCTCCTAATTGGACAACCAATCATATAGTTATTTTTTAATGAATGTATGGTTGACAAAAAAAAAAGATATAAGTAACTTACGAACATGTAGGTTTGAAATTCTTCATGATTTGCAAGTTTTTTTGCTCAACCATAAGCGTTTCGAGTTTCGAGTTCCTAAGATTAAGATAATGTTGTTTATGAACAACCAAAGGATCTGTTCTGTTCCGTGTGTTTTTTTTCTTCTGTTTGGTCTGGTTAACAGTTTACCTTAACTTTCTCATGTCTAAAATATATCATGCAATTTTGGACGATTTTCGAATATGTACTTGAAAAAATATGAAATATCAAAACCGGTGCCGGCAAAGAAAATGTTATATAAATATACAATTCTGTTTATTTAATTTAGTCCTACTTGGCCTTGGAGGACTAGAGAAAAATACAAACCTTTTTTATCCAACGTGAAAAAACAATTAAATAATTTGTTTTCATTTAGATAATTCTTAAAGTTGTATACATTATTTAGGAAATATAATGGTGAACCTAATTTTCTAAACCAGATAGAAGCAAATTTATGAATATATAAACCAATAAACAAAAGTTAATCTCAGAGATTTCTAGAAAGAAAAAACACGGTTCATAAATGTATACAATTCAATTTTTCTTCTTTTGATTTTTTTTTCCAAAAAAAAACTGAGAAAAATTCCAGCGGGAGCGGGACTCGGCGGGAGGCCCAAAGGTGTGATGGTGCTTGCCGGCGGGAGGCCCAAAGGTGTGATGGTGTTTGCCGGCGGGAGGCCAAGAGGTGTGATGGTGCTTGCCGGCGGGAGGCCAAAAGGTGTGATGGTGCTTGCCGGCGGGAGGCCAAGAGGTGTGATGGTGCTTGCCGGCGGGAGGCCAAAAGGTGTGATGGTGCTTGCCGGCGGGAGGCCAAGAGGTGTGATGGTGCTTGCCGGCAAGGAGCCAAGAGGTGTGATGGTGCTTGCCGGCGGGAGGCCAAGAGGTGTGATGGAGCTTGCCGGCAGGGTGGAGCTTGCCGGTGGGATGGAGCTTGCCGGCAGGGTGGAGCTTGCTGGATGGATGCAGCGAGCCGGCGGGGTGGAGCTCGCCGGCAGGGTGGAGCTCGCCGGCAGGGTGGAGCTCGCCGGCTGGGTGGAGCTCGCCGGCAGGGTGGAGCTCGCCGGCTGGGTGGAGCTCGCCGGCAGGGTGGAGCGAAACCGCAGGGTGGAGCGAACCCGCAGGGTGGAGCTCGCCGGCTGGGTGGAGCGAACCGGCTGGGTGGAGCGAACCGGCTGGGTGGAGCGAGCCGGCAGGGTGGAGCGAGCCGGTGGAGTGGCAAGAACCGGAGGAATGTTTAGTGATAAGAAAACCCATTGCAGCGACGAAGGAGGAGTGAAACGTTTGCTTTGAATTTGTAGTTTTGAAGGCAAATAGATCACAAAACGTGAGACTTGTAAAAGTAGAGAAGTGCTCCTAATTCTTTTATATAGGAAAAGTAAAAATAATATACCTAATTCAAATAGGAGAAGGTAAATTAATCTAATTTTATTTTTGTTGCTATAGTTATTTTATAAACAATTGTACAATCAAATCTTTGTGAATATACACGCGGCTTTCTTTGTTTTTAATCTTACTCACCTTTTTTCTTTGGTAGAGGTTAACAAACTAAATATTAGGTTAAATGCATGATATACGTGAGCGGATATCTTGATTTTTTTTGGTAATATAATTAATATCGAAATATATATAGGTGATAATGATAGATTAAGAACTGACGAATTATAATTTTCTCATTAAAAATGCAAGTTTGTAAATAAGATATTTGTGAATATAAATCAATTATAGGAAAAGAAAGACCCGCACAAATTAGTCTTATATCGGTGTCATCACAATAAGTAAGTGTAAACGGTATGATTCAACTAACTGGATCAAAGGAAAGGAGACTTCTGGCTAAAAAGACAAGCAAATCATTCATTGCTCAGGTAGTTTTACTTAATCCCGTTTAACCAGAATATGCTTTCGTAAATCACCTAAACCCTTGTCATTTAACTGTCATGTAGTCAGATAGAAGAAATGGAGCTGAAATATGTGGCCTTATTATTCTTGGCCTAATTGGCCTTCGCTGTAAGATTTCAAGAACTTTGATCAATTGACTCTTATATTGAAAACGTCGAAACCATTGATTTAGGTTTTTGTTCTTTGTTTGTGTATGGGAAATGTGTGAAGATCTTTGTGTCCAGAGACATATCCTGAGAACAACATGCAGTTCCTCAAATCCCATGGAATTAGTCGTTTCCAGTTTGGCATTGAAGGCTCCAAGTCCAAGGTGTGTGTCCTTGTATTTTATTTGCACTCACTGTTCATAAATGTCCATTTCTAATTGCTTGATCACTGCCTTGTCCTAAATTCTAACTTTGCGACTTCAATTTGTAGTCAAAACCTTAATTCATAGTGGGAATCGAAGTCACACAATTGAAAGTTCATATATTTTGGAAATCTTGAATTCGCAGTGTCTTCCCGGATTAGAGAACAAGGTTTGGTTACATATTTGGAGTTCTAAGCATCCGAAAGAGGATTTCTACACAAACGGAAATTCGAAAACTTCGGTATTAATCTAAATACTATTTGGCGTTCTAATCTAATCCGAAAGAGGACGACAGGAGAATTTCATAATTAAGAGTAAAACTACTAGCTTATCAGAAAACTTCCAATGAATCCAAGCAAAAAGAAACGGTTTTTTAGATTACCAAAAGAAACTCAAGCAAAAAAGGTTGAGTGTGTTTAGAGTTTGGACCCGGACGACAACCAAATCTTTTTAGGTTTATGGAATTAACACAAGTTAAGGTTCCACACATAATTAGAAGCTTTAACTTGGACAAGAAAGTGCAAAGTACTTGTAAAAAATTCAAAAAATGCTCAAAAATATTTTCACATAACAAAAGGCCAAACAAATTTTTTTTCCCTAAACTCTAATTTATGTTGAGCCGGGGCTACATAAGAAATCACGTTACAAAAAAAATCACTAGTTTATCCATAATACAGAAATATACATATAGGATCTAGCTCGTCGTTAACATTTTTGTTGTAGTCGTAAAAGTTATTAAAATACTGCGATGGTATGATGGTATAGTATGTGTCCAATCTGATAATCATGAAAGCGGCTGGGATTGGCGGAAAAAGATGAAGCGTGTGGCAATGGTAAAAGTGACAAAATTAGAAAGGGTAAGTCAAAAAGGAAAATTATATTTGTCTCTCTACGTAATTATTCTACTACTAGTCATTGCATATAAACATGAACCATTTACATATATTTTGTAACTAAAACTCACTGATTTTTAAATCTAACATGAAGATTTTAATTAGTGTTTATCGTTTCAAAATTACAAAGCTTACTCTTCTACTTTGAGCTTACATCGTAGTTAAATCTAATGGTAAATCACTACACGAAATTTCATACAAAGTTTAAAATCAATGATCGAATAAAAAATTATTTTGTTTAGATTTGTAGATCTAGTTGAACCGTTTTTCTTTTATCTTTGGTTCAAATTCTTTGAGAGAAATCCAGTTACCCGAAAACATTAATGTCTTTACCTCTTTTCTGTATTCGAACTCATGAAATCTTTTTTTTTTTTTTTTTTTTGGGCAAAGAGAACTCATGAAATCAAATGTGTGTTTACTAATTTTTCGCTACAATGTTGTTGGAAGTGCTCGTAGAGCACTAAAAATTGTCTTTGTAACAAAATTTTATCAAACAAGATAGATGCTTGGTGAAAAAATAAATTAGAAAACAAAATCTGCTAACCAATATAAATCCTTTAGTGTGAAATATAAAAAACTTGTGAAGATTTAAATAATAAATAAACAAAGTTGTATGAACTTAAGTTTGAGAAAAAAAAAAGAAAAAAAAATGTGTGTAACGGATTCTTTGATGTGGGTTTCATGCTCTTATACGTCGTATTTTTCATGTTTAGGGTTGTTTTGAAATTTTGTGTAACGGAATGTATGGTTAGTGTTTTTTATTTGTAAAAAAAATAGATAAAATATTTATGATAATATCAAAGATATGTGAAAATGAAAAAAAAAGAGAGAAGAAGGAAGATCAAAGGTAAATTCTAGAAACGGCGGAAAAATAACTTTGATTCAAAGTCTTCCGTAGTTTGTGAAGATTTGTATTTTTCCTCATAGTCAAATTTGATTAGGAGGCTGAAAGTGTGCCGTATTTGTAATGGGACAAGTCACCACTTTTGCGCCAGTTACATTGTTCTTTTTCTGTCTATTTTCCACATATTGACATACTTAAAGAAAACGGTTTCAAATTAACATTGTTAATTATTTGAGAATTTTCTATCTAATTATATTGATAAATTAAAGCATAACTAAAAGCAATCCATTACTTCAGTTTCATTTAATTTATTTCTGTTTAAGATTTCTCTTATTATTGACTAAATATTCAATGAGTAAATATGACCCCTCGAGTCAATCCAAATCCCCATCTTAATTACTTAATTTGTACAACCGATATTACGAAAATGAGAGAATTCATTTAAGAGTAGATATATAAATTGTATTGTATTAAGAAAAAAAAAACTTTATAATTGGTTAAAATTTCATCACTTCATATGCATTTCCTGATAATTAGTTTAAGAGTACGAATTCAATTTATCCGAATTAAATAGACACAAAACAAGTGTAATGAACGTACACACAAAAAAAAAAACAAAGTTCAATTGATAAAATAAAAAATTTGTGTCTTTTAAAAAATGCATACAATATGCAAATTCCCTTTCTTTCTTTTATTTGTTTTTCTCTCTAATTTTACGTTTTATAATTTCTATTAGTTATTAAATGTAGTAAAACGAAAAACCTAAGGGTAGGTAAAGAGGCTAATATATAACGTGAGAGTAGATTTGCTATTCTCTCATTAGTCATAACCCTATCAACCCTAAGTAATCTCTCTCGATCATCATCATCATCATCATCATCATCATCATCATGTCCTCAAACAAAAATTGGCCAAGCATGTTCAAATCCAAACCTTGCAACAATAATCATCATCATCAACATGAAATCGATACTCCATCTTACATGCACTACTCTAATTGCAACCTATCATCTTCCTTTTCCTCAGGTACTCACAAAAATTTACATTATCTCCTTCATTTTCTTCTGTTAATTTTATAAAAAAGTATATTGTTAGTTTTACTTGATCATAGAAACAAGCTATATGAATTATTTTATGTACATGCATGCATGATGATGTAAACCGCTCTATGAATCAGATCGGGTACCAGATCCTAAACCGAGATGGAACCCTAAACCGGAGCAGATTCGGATACTCGAATCAATCTTCAATTCCGGTACTGTTAACCCACCTAGGGAGGAGATTCAAAGAATCCGGATCCGGCTTCAAGAGTACGGACAAATCGGTGATGCTAATGTGTTTTACTGGTTTCAAAACCGGAAATCTCGAGCAAAACACAAGCTTCGTGTTCATCACAAAAACCCTAAAATGTCCAAGAAGGACAAGATGGTTATTCCAAGTAATGATGCTGATCATTGTTTTGGTTTTGTTAACCAAGAAACCGGATTATTTCCGGTTCAAAACAATGAATTGGTGGTAACCGAACCGCCCGGTTTTCTATTCCCGGTTCATAATGATCCGAGCGCTGCTCAATCAGGTTTTGGTTTTAGTGATTTTGTTGTACCGGTGGTAACCGAAGAAGGGATGGCTTTCTCTACCGTTAATAACGGCGTTAATTTGGAGACCGATGAAAGTTTTGATCAAATTCCGGCGATCAATTTATACGGAGGAGATGGAAATGGCGGTGGAAATTGTTTTTCTCCTTTGACTGTTCCTTTGACCGTCAATCAATCTCAAGGTGAATTAATCATTTCGAAATAGTAAATATTGTTCATATTTTTCTTTTCGAAATAGTTTTATTTCCTTCATTTGCTCAACGTACAAAAAAATAAATATTATAAATAATGCATGTATATAATTAGTGTACCAAATTTAGTATATATCATATAGTTCTTACCATACGTATGCATTTGTTATCACATGTCATATATACATAGAATTGTACATTCATTATTCATATATTAGTATGTATATATATATATATATATATTGGTCATATATATAATATTAGATAGGTCATAATCATATAATATGGTAAATAAATTATACAACCATCCTATATTTTGGAACGAGTAACGCATGCATACGTGTTTTGGGGAAAAGACGTTTTGGTCTTTAGATTTGACCATTTACTGTATATTTTCTTGGGGTAAATTAGTATTATTTCATTTCTTTGACTAACATTAATTACCAAAACATGTTCCATTGGTCACAAGAAGAACGAGACATAGTATTATCCGGTGATGAAGATGTCGAGAATAGTGTTTCTCCGGTGAGAATGACGGTGTTTATTAACGACATGCCTTTCGAGGTAGTGCCCGGATTATTCAACGTTAAAGCAGCTTTTGGAAACGATGCTGTTTTGATCAACTCGTTTGGGCAACCTATTCATACAGATGAATTTGGTGTTACTTATCAACCTCTCCAAAACGGTGCAATCTATTATCTTGTGAGTTTTTTTTTATCTTTTTGATATAAAGTTAAATGGTCTAAGATTTTTGTTTTTTTTGTAGGAATTGCTCAAAAAATTTGTGTTTGGTTTTGCAGATTTAGAAGATATTGAAGATTGAGAGTTATGGTGCTATGGATGAATATTAATATAATAAAAGATTACTGCGATTTATTTAGTTATTTATTATATAAATTTCTCATTTGTTATCTTTAAATTTTTGAACAATTTAAAGGATCTTTTCATTTTCAAGACTTTGAAAAATAAAGAATGGAATTAAGATATAGCTTCATTAAAGTTTGTTCCCAATGTACCAAGTTTATGTTTACTTGTGCATTTCTATTTTTTTTAAAAAATATATATCTTATCTAGTATTATGTCATTAAAAAAATGTTAGTTATCAAAACCTTCTAGATCTTTTAAAAACGAAACAATTGCTCAAAGATAGTTATGATACCTCTGTTCTAAACTATAAATTGTAGCCATAAACCAAATTTAGGAAGAACTAAACTTCTTTGTTTAGAGTGGTTGAAATGGTTTGTATAAATGTTGTTGACAACAACAACAAAAAATAACATGGAAAAATATTAAATTAGTTGATGTTGATCCATCCTCCCATGGCTCTAGTTTCCTCGGTTTTTTGCTCGCCTGCGTAAGGTCATTGCTCTAGTTTTGGGTGTTTGGGGTTTTTTAGAATTTCTCAAATATTTTTCTGAATTGCACAAATAAATTTAAATTGGGCCAAGTTTGAGATATCATGAGCCTAACTTATTGTGGCCCATTAATAACCCATTCTATTTTGTGCGTGTATGTAAACGCTATGTTCGTTGAATCCCCTTGTCTTACTCTCATTTCCAAAATCTAGAAACCCTAGAAAGAAAAAAAAGCAAAACGCGATCTCATGGACTCCGGCGAACGAGACCGTAACTTTGGTTATTGATTGGGAAATATGCGGAAGTAAAGCTTCCACGAACGGCACGGGTCAAGAACAAGACTCCAGCGCCGGCGCAAATCACGGCATAGCAGATTCTAAGAGAAGCTAGAGAGAGGCAAGAGGCTGAGATCCATCCACCTAAGCAGAAAGTCATTGATTCGAATGAACTTTCCGAGTACAGACTCCGACGTCGGAAAGATTTTGAGGACGCGGAGCGAGATGGAAGAGAAAAAAGTATTTTCATACCCATACAATCTGCAAAGTGTGTTTTCCGTCCTATACAATAATACAGTAAACTTCACGATTCACTTCAATACAACTCCGATTAACAATCCGTAACCCAAAGAATCATTTCAATGTTCATAAAACACCCAAACGATCAAACGCTAGCTCTCAAGATGAGAGAAACCTAGCAACAACAATAGATTCAAAGAAGAAGATAACAAACGTTTACAATTTTCTGGTTAAATCTCCACAAATGATCTTCAGCTCTGTTTATAGCTTCACGACTTGGTCAACATTCTTCTCCCAACTTCAGATTCACCCAATCATCCTTTGCCAAGTCACTACTCATATTCCCACCAATCAGCTCTTAAGAAACCTCCACGTCAGCCACTCTTATGCATCATTTTCCTGTATCAAATCTTCCCCGTTTGAAGAAACCTTGACCTCAAGGTTTGATAGAGAAGGGAACAATCTGATTTCCAAGGGAACAGTTGTTGTATACTTCATTTCAAGGCTAAAGAGGGAGTTGGCTTCTCAGATTTGTAAAAGTCCCCACACCCATAAGAATGATCAGTCTTAAGCGATGAAACTGATGTGCATAGTTAGTGACGAGCACAAGACTGCCCAAGTATATCTCCAGCGCTAAGATCGACAGCAAGAGTTTAAATCGCCATTTGTGCTTGATTTGGAACTGTTGTATTAGCAATGCACCACGATCCTTAGGCTTTCCCAACTTGTCATGAATGCTCTTTAGCGGTGCCTTGTACTTGAACATCCAACTCGTGTAACATATTTTCTTCTTCTTTTTCTCAAGCTCTGAAACTATGTGAATTTTCTTAGAGTAGTTCTGCAGCCATAAGAGAGGTTGTTCTGCAACAAAATTCAGAACTGGAGAATTCTCAGCCCCGTCGTCACTTGAATCTTTCAGCAGTCCTGATATTTCATATGCCTTACTAAACCAAAGATTGAGCAACGCCAACAATATCAGTCTTGAAAATGATTGTAAGGGCCTAAATCTCCCTTTTTTCTTCAAGTGTAACATCAGAATTCTACACCCCTGCTGTTGTACTCCATGAAGAATGATAATATCAACACCAAAACCAGACTGGAAATCATTAAAGGCAAAGCTAGATTGTATGTGTGAAGCCTCCAAGTTGTGATTCCTCCAACTTTCTCTGATGCCCCAACTTCGTAACCACTCTTCAAATTCCAACATGTACTTGTACCTCAACTGAATGTGCAGTCGCTTAATACCCTCTTCTACTGATTTATACTTGAACCACCACCGCTTGGAAAACCTGAACTTTTTGTTTCTCATTACTTGTTGCATAACCAAATTGGTTTGCCACCTCCAAACGTGGAAACTAGGGAACTGGCAAACTGATTTGATACCAACTTCAGAGTCTTGAATATTCATTCCCATTGGAGCTTCATGAAACTCATATTCAATCAATGGGTGAATCTTTTGTTCTGCTTCCTTTTTTGGCAAAACAATCATTCTCACAGTTCCGGACAAGGTAGGTCTGAGTAGTTTCTTATGGCCCCTTTTATACTCAAACATCCATGAGTTAGAAGGCAAATGCAGCTTCCTCCGTTGCTGGATAATGTGGCTTTGAAGGAGCCTTTTTTTTACCACTTTGTAGTGATCAAAGTGCAACTTACCGTCCACAAAATTTCCAGCTTGAATGTCTTTTGATTTATCACTTAAGAACCATGTTTCTTCAGCCGATGATAAATCCTCAAGAACATAGACTGATTCATCGTTACAGAGCGAATTCGTCTTTCGCATCAACCTCTTGGCTTGAATCAAATTGCAACGCTGTGTCTCAAACGTCACTTCATCTACTATCACAGATTGTGGTTCTTCTTTCATCAAAATCAGCTCTAGATTCGATGATTTTGTTCTAGGAAGCCTTGGTTTTGTCATTGCTTTGAACTTAAACCACCAAGTCTTTGAAAATGTTTCCCTTATCATATTTCGCAACAGGTTTGTTTCCAATGGCATTGAATCAAACACTTGGCGTGCAATACTAACAGCATCACCATCAACCTCAAATTTCATATTAACGTACTTTTGAACCCCATCTTGTTCTAGATTCTCATTCTCATTCATCACCACATACTCTAGAGTTTCCAACTTTGAATTTTCTTCCCTAATTTCAACATTCCTCAAAATCTCAGAATTAGCAATTGGTACCTGAAATTGTGGAATCGATCCTTCCTCCAAGAGTGCCAAATTCATGTCTGCAGTTGCTTCATGATTCACTGTTCGTTGCTCAGTTTCACTCGATTCTGTGGCAACCTCAGTTTCAACCAATTCTTTGTCATGAGACATTTGATCTTCATCACAATCTATCATCAGAATTCCTGAATTCTTGTGACGCAGATGGTGATCCGGAGTCTCCGGTTCATCGCAGAACATACAAAGTCCCTTGAACCATCTCTCGTTAAACTCTTCCCATGAAATTCTCCGATGAAGCTTTTTTATTCGCAAACCCAACGTCTCCGCCGTTTCACGAACCACAGCTTCTTCCATCTTCGTCAAAGCTCTTGTTTCCTCTTGGGCTGTGAGGCCCCGTAGCCCATTTACTTATCTCTTTGTAACTAGGTCTAATCTTCTCTTTGTATATAAGGCATTGCCTCTGTATCTTGTTCAATAAGAAAATATAGTTTACGATCTTAAAACCTATTTGACATGGTATCAGAGCAAAACCTAAACCACTAAAGGGTTTTTGTTCTTGATCTTGTGATTCCCCTTTTGTTTTTCCGCTGCACATCTACTTCTTCAAACTCTGACATATTTTTTTCCTCTCTTTGACCTAGTTTTTGTCAATCTCTATTTGCCAAATTCCTCTTAAACGATGAGTACCGAATCTGCTCTCATCAATACTGCGTCTCAACCACGTACCGAGACCAGACGCACCATCTCTCCATATGATCTAACCTCCAACGACAATCCAGGCACTCTCATCTCAAAACCTCTCTTACGTGGACCTAACTACGACGAATGGTCCACCAATTTGCGCCTAGCTTTGAAAGCAAGGAAGAAGTTTGGATTCGCCGATGGTTCTATCCTTCAACCAGTTGCAACAGATGCCGATTTCGAAGATTGGCAAGCTAATAACGCTCTTGTGGTTTCTTGGATGAAACTCACAATCCACGAGAGTATTTCTACTTCCATGTCACATCTCGATGACTCCCACGAGCTGTGGACACATATCCAAAAGCGATTTGGTGTTAAGAATGGCCAAAGGATTCAACGCCTCAAAACAGAATTAGCTACATGTCGTCAAAAAGGATCTCCTATTGAAACATACTACGGTCGATTATCTCAATTGTGGAGAAGCTTGGCTGACTACCAACAAGCCAAAACAATGGAGGAAGTCCGCAAAGAGCGTGAGGAAGACAAACTCCATCAATTTCTCATGGGACTAGATGAGTCCGTCTACGGAGCTGTCAAATCGGCTTTACTTTCACGAGTACCACTACCTTCTCTCGAGGAAGCTTATAATACATTGACACAAGATGAAGAATCTAAGTCGTTAAGTCGTTTGCATGATGACAAGAACGATGGTGTTAGCTTTGTAGTTCAAACTTCCTCAAGAACCAGAAGCTACGAAAACAGAGAGTCCGGCGATAACAGAATCTGCTCCCATTGCGGACGCACCGGTCATCTCGCTGAATACTGTTTTAAACTCATTGGTTACCCTCCATGGCTTGAGGAAAAACTGGGCAACAAACCAACTACGTCTTCTCCACGGAGTAACAATGGTCGTGGTGCATTCACTTCTCCGACTTCCACTTTTAAAGGAAAACAGAGTCTAGGCCGCGGTGCCTCTGTTAGTCACGTCTCCAATGTTACTGCTGCAACGGGCTCGACATTCAGCTCTCCCTTGACTGATGCTGATCGAATTGGGATCAGTGGCTTGAATGATGCTCAATGGAAACAGCTACGCCTAATGCTCGATGATCGGGAACGCACCTCTCCGGACACAAAATCGGGTAAGT